AATTGAATATAGTCATTTCTGTGAAGATCTGAATTATTGTAGCTGTAGTCTTATAATTTTCTTATTGTAAAAATAGAACTTATAAAGGAATGAAGATAAGTATGATCCCTTAAATATTTCTCAAATATCAGTTAATGTAAATAGGCTTTGTCAGAAGCTGTCAATTTAAGATTTTATATTTTACCAAATGGTGGAAATTCATTGTGAATTTATTAAAAGGCAACAACCAATGTGTTTTAGCTACCAGAGATGGAAACACTGTCACAGCACTGGCAAAGTTAAATGCAAAAGCCTGTATTCTTGATCTAAGTCGAGGGTCATTTTACCTTTTACATTTTGTCATAAGTGCTATACTATCAATTAGGTATTGCTATATATAATACTTTTTTTTCCCAGAAGAGGCCATGTCTCCTACTTTTCGGTTTCCCTCATTAGTCCTTACTTTATTTATTAATGTTTATCTAGCATATAAACTGATGGCATAACAAAAACTATGTAATGAGGAAGATCAAAGATAGATTCCTCCAAAGATTCTAAAACTCATATACTCTAGTACAGGAAATAAAACACATGCAATATATATTACAAATTTTAAATACATTAGGTGTGTAAGTGAAATATTAACAAAATACAGAAGTCTTTTAGAGACGCAAGAGTTTGCTTAACATGGAAAACACAAAGGAAGGCTTCCTGGAAGTAGTAGCATTTGAACCAGACTTGAAGGCAAGACAGGTAAAACAGGATGAACTGGTATTCAGGGGAATAGCTATAAGGTAGACAATGGGATATTCAGAATGAGATGAGAGCTCTAAAGGTGTAATTGACAAGCCTGAATATCTAATTAGATATAAGGAGATTCAGTAAGAAGGAAGAATCAGAGATAATATTAAAGTTTTTAGTGCCAACCTGACTACAGTTTCTAATCAGCATGTTAGTGCCTTACTTTTAAATATTAATAAACAGTATTGACTTAGAAATGTTTATTCAACTATAAACATGTAAGATTTGTACGTGTTTGTGTATGTATGTTATAGTGATTTTTAAAGTTCAAAATAGAATATAACAAGGTAATTTAAGAAAATACCCCAAAACAGAAGGATATGTTACCAGCTTGAAAGAACCATCAAGATCCCAGCATAGCAGATG